ATACTGCCTCGGAAACCCAAGGAGGGGTCGCTATGAGTCGGGCCGACTCGATGGCACATAACAACAACAACAACTCCTTAAGAAATGCCTGAGTTAGTTCAATACATCTGACAGTATTTGCTAACCTATCTAATAATACGTGGTGAAATCTAGAGGAACTTGTATTAACCTATTGTAAAAACAACGAAGCCATCAAACCATGTTTCATATTTTTATTGAGTCTTTTTGGTTTTAATTATCTATGGTAGGTACAATTCTAGTGACCATGATTATATCAAAACTCTGCTGTTACTCTAAAGCAGATATAAAGTTGGTTGCCATGCCTTAGTCACTCATACACACATACACACACACACATGCACACACACATAATTTTGCACATGCCTGCATGCAAGCACTATGCTACCATAAGAAATGTACATTCCTTTTATTAAAAACACAGTTATGCACAATAGTCTGGATTTTGTTAATCTACCACTGACTTAGACAAACCTGAGAAAGCTCCAAATGTCAAGTAACACTGTTTCCATACCGCTCATTCAACGGCACTATTAATCACAAGAAGATCTATTTCAATTTTCTATATTAAAATCACAGATAATATAAAAATAAACATATTTGCAATAGCACTAAAACATACTATAATTCAAATTCACAAATTTTGATATCTAACACATATTCCCCTTCATATTAATTTTTGATGATGTATATAATACATTGTACAAAAGAAAAAAAATGTAATAGAAATCAGCAGCCAAATATACTGTGATCACTATAAAACTTGGAATTAAAACTATCAACTGAAAAAATATTAAAACTAATAGCAGTGTTGAATTTGCTGGTAGTGTGTTACTTAGAAATTCCATCTCAAAGAAATAAAGATTATACTGTTTCACCTTAAGAGGAAACACAACACAAAAATTTAAAACTGAGTGGCAGTACGCTGATTGTACCAGCTGCCTCTTTCCCTACCTGTTTCTTAAATTCTGTTGTTGTTATTTGCCATCGAGTCGGCCCCGACTCCTAGCGACCCCTCCTTGGGTTTCCGAGGCAGTTATCACTACGGAAGTAGGATTGCCCAACCTTCCTTCTATAATGCCCACTCCACCAGACTTCCCAAACATAATAGAACTCCTTTGAATTTAGGACAAGACTTTTGCATTTGGAAATGGAAGCTTTGCCATATTTGGGGGCAACATTTTAAACCTCTTGACAAGGAAGTATAAACTTCTCTATAGTATCATACAAAATGTAGACAGTACAGACCCAGTCTGGCGAAGATACCTTGTATTTACCAAGGATCTATGGTCTGACACCAAATTGTGTCTGTATAGAACCTAATAAAAAACATAAACATGCAAAAGCATTTCTAAGGAAAAGTAATCACTTGAGTTGAGTTTTGTATCACAAAACAGATTTTCATACTTTACACCTAAAAAACCCGATGACTTAAACATTTTCAAGATACTGATATTTTCAAAGCATCATAATATACAACAACTCATTTTATCTATACATGATATAATACATAAAATACAACAGTGTGACTGGCACATTGATATTATACATTGTAATAAATATAATTTACATCAGTTTGTTGCATCTTTCAAGAAATTTTTTCAATCTGTACAATTGAAGGACTATGAGCTTCATCAATAAATACTATTATGATAGTTACAATCAGACCAGCAAACTTAAAGCTTCAAAAGATCTTTAACTATCATCACATCTTTAAATATTGTCACTAGTCCAACTGCAGCTGCTATAAGCACTTGGATACAAAGGCAGTTTATTTCCTGTCTGAGCCTGCCTAAGTAGACAGAGAAGGCTTACAAGTCATAGGTCCACAAAGCATTTGGTGACCTTGTAAGAGTTTTTAGCCAAGGATTGAGATTGAAGAGTTCTGCAAAATAACAGTAGGAGATTTCACACACCTCTAGCTGTCTCTAGTTTTCATACTTTACCACATCCCCTAAAGTCCCAACAAATAGATGTCATCCAACCTTCTTAATCCATGCAGAGTGGCCTTGAAAGGGTCAAAAATCCCACTGCTGGCTGAGTGGCAATGCCATGGTTTTACCTCCAAATCCTAACTCTCATGCTGTATCTCTTCTAAGTTTTTTTTTTTTTTTTAATTATTTAAATGTAAACTCAAATTGCTGTTCATAGAGTCAAAACTGCCAATTTGTGAGCCATAGAAAACTTGGAACATTGCATTAAATATTTTTGTAGTATGAAATTTAGTTAACTGATAAGTTCTAGAATTTGAGCGTTCTTTCATCCAAAGGCCAACAGACTTTGCTTTTACTATTAAAACACTTTTGCATATCATTATATGGAGTGAATCAGCTTTACAACCAAAAGATCACTGCCTCTCTCCACGCTTTCATCATTAGCACAGACTCTTTCCAGAGACCCCTTTTGGCCTGGAAGTAGTCGGTAAGGTCATTCTTGTTACTATTTGGCATGCATTTATATGTCATTGCTGTCCAATGTGATATATGAAGCTAAAGCAGAAACACTTCGGAAAAAATATGCCAAGTAATATAAGGATATTTATAGTCACTGTCCACCTCCTCACTGGATCCACACTCCAACAGAAAGCTCTCTGGAAGCTAAAACAATGTATTAACACACACTCTAAACCAGGCTGAGCATCCTGAGACCTAAAAAGGAGAAAACTAAAATAAATGTGAAAAAATAGAGAAATGTGTACCATTAGCCTGCAAGTTCAAGAGTTGCATAGCCACTGGAATTCCTATTTTGGTCGGTTTGGTGAACTTATGTTATCTCATGGAACATGGTGTCTGACAGGGTCAATGTCAAAATGAGGAGGTGTATTTGCACATCTCAAAAATTTCTGCTCAGTTTGGTTTCTGTGATTCTATGCATTGAGAATGAACATTTTAAAAAGAACTACTATCAGCAATGCTAAATACAGCTTTTCTCCTTTGATATTAGAGGCTGGAGATTGGGTAAACTGAGGCATCTCTAAGAATTAACTGAAGGTCTCCCAAATATTCAATCCACCCAGGCATTGCAATGGCTGAAATCAAACCCTGACCTTTCTGTCACTTTAGTCACAGGACATTAAGGTTCCTGCCTTAGCCTATCACCCTATATCACTTCACTTATAAACTGTTTTCCAGCAATGTAAGGTATAAGTGATTCCTCCATCAGTTTCCAATTCTGATGTTGGCTTTGTGTGTGCTAGCTTTAATAACTAAAAATTCCTTTGACATGGGGTTTATTTGTTTGGAGTTATAAATTGTAACCTCACTCCACATTCTACATTTTATAAAATTTTACCGTTTCAAGGGCTAGATGTGCAACAATTCAATATTCACTGAAAATTGCCATTAAAGTTGTTGAAAGATTCTTTCTTACTGCCTGGAAGAGAAAATATAATACACTGACCAGCAGTATTATAATATAGGTAGTTTGATTAGCAGTATCTATAACTGACTTTTTACTGTGAGCTTTCCTCAGGTACTCAAATTTATTTCTTCATATTTTTCTTTCCCATATAATATTATGATCCTTTCTTTTTTCCTTTAAATTTGAGATGTAAAATCCACTAAAGGTTATAGTTTTTCAGTTGATCAGCATAAGCTATATAAAGTCAGCCTACCTCATCTTCTTTCCATATTGCATAAATGCTCTCAATTTCAAGACAAAGCAGAAACTTTTACATAATTTGAATTTAAAGTCTTAATTCTAAAATGTTTTCCTCCATTCCCAGTGGCCTCTTACACATTTGAGTACATGCCTGCAGGCTATGCATTATGAATGACTGTCAACCTCTTCCCCTCTGATAATATAGGTATCTCTTGCTTATCAAAAGTTCACTTTACACCGTTTCTCTTTTATGTGGGATCTACATTAGTATCTATTTTCACTAACATGCAAAAACCCAAAGATTTTCACTCTTATGAAAAAAAGGCAAAAATCAAACTAATGTTCAGCGTTTGTTTTGCAGGGGACCACTGAGCCAGTGCACACTTGGAGCATCAATCATTGTCAAGCTCCTTCCCTGGGTACTACACTCAGCATCTCAGCATCAAACCTCCATAGCACTGAACTTTGTGAACACTACACATTCATGTTATTTTAGTTTTTATGTGTTATTTGGTATGATTTGGTAGGGTTTTTTTTTTTTGGTCAGGGAATTCTCAAAATTTTTTCCTATAGAAATTAATGATAATTCTTTCTTAGCTTTACACCCAAAGATTTCATAGGCATGCTCTACTTTGGGATAAGGAGAGAAATCTGTATGATCCTCCTGCTGACCATCCTCTCAGCTTGCCAAGTCATTCCACTCATTTAAACTTTGGTCTGTAATTTATCTGTGATTTTTTAAATTGTTTTTACAGATGTGAGTGAGCACTTGTCCTGGAACAAATAAACTCCTAAGGCATTGCACAGCAGTGGTGCAAGTAAACACCCTTTATCAGAGGAAGTCTAAGAGAGTTCATGGTGTTTACAGAGAAAGTACATGCACTCCGATTATTTTGAATGCATTTTTCCCTTAATAGGCGTAGGCTTCTAACATCAAAACCCAAAGTATAGTGAGCAGTTTTCCAAAAATAATTAGGAAGTTATCACTTTTCAGGCTTGTAAATTAATTAACACTGACATTTCTATTCAATTTCCCTAAGAAGCTCAGCCAGCTAGTACTTAAGCATACAAGACCCCCAAACAGACAGCCATGAAATCTTTCCATGTGATGTTGAGTGAGCTCAGTATTTTGTTATATTATACTAAGTCTTTTTGAAGATGTAGAGTTTCAATCTGCTCCTAGCATGGGTTTTTAAAAACAATAAAGGTTACAGGAACCACAACATCAAGTTTCAAGTGGTCAGGTTTTGTTCTGTTTTGTTTTGTGAGAAATTATTAATATCAAAATGGTTCCAATACTCCTATGCATATACACATTAAATGCTTGTGTGGAGCTCTAGAGAGAAGCTTGTAAATTTTAAAGGAAGAAGAAAAGGTGAATATTTAACTAGGATAGAATTATTTTATTATACATACTTCTAGTCAGAAAGAAGGGTGACCCTGAATGCAAACCCAAGTAAGCTAAGTGCAGGTGTGGGCATTTCTTTTTCTTTTTTGGTTCTACTTTCTTGGTCTGAATTTCCTCTACTCTTACCAGAAACTTAAAGGGGAAAAACTATTTGGCTCTATTTTAGCATCCTACCATGCTACAAAAAATGAGGTTTTGGGGGGATTCTTGTGCCTTCACAAGCTTGTATCTCCATTCTGCTTGAACTCAGATAAAATATTGAGGGTCATGTCTTCACTCTTAGACTGCAAATTTGCCTCACTTCTTCTGGAAGCTTTCCTGGTTGCTCGGGAGAGTCTCCTCCTGAAAGTATCTCCTGCCAAGAAATAGAGAATAGGGTCCACACAGCTGTTGAGACTTGCCAGACCTCTTGTCACCTGATATGTGGCATAAACTTGGTCATTGAAAGCACACATTTCTGGGGTCTGAAAATCCAGACGGGCCCTTAAATTCATCGTTTTCATCACATGGAAAGGGATGTAAGACACAGCAAAAACAGTCAGTACAATAATAACCAGGTAAATTGATTTCCTCCTAAGAGGGGAGTTGTCCAGGTCCTTGTAAATCAGTGCTTTCACAATTAATCCATAACAGCCTAAAATCAGCACCAAGGGGACACAGAACATAACCACGGTCGTACACATGCTGTAGATGAAATAACTTCTCAGGTAGTCGTCTGAGGTGGTGTCGTAGCAGGTGGTTTTGTTTTTTCGGAGCCCGGTGCCAGAGTAGAAGAGGATGGGGGAGATCCCCACCACCACGGTGAGCCACACCAGCACGCTGATGTAGACTGCGTTCTTCTTCTTGAGCCTGCCCAAGGACTTCAGCGGATACACCACGCCACTGTACCGGTGAGCACTGATGCAGGTTAGGAACAAGATGCTGCCATAGAGGTTCACATGGAAGATGAACCTCTGCAATTTGCACATGGCATCCCCGAAGATCCAGTCCGTCTTATTGAAGTAGTAGAAGATAAGGGCTGGCAGAGTCAGCACGTACAAAAAGTCGGCCAGAGCCAAATTGAACATGTACACGGAGATGCCGCTCCACGGCTTCATGTGGAAGACGAACATCCAGATGGCCACGCTGTTGCCCAGAAAGCCGATTATGAACACCAAGATGTAGACAGCGGGCAGGTAGTAAAACTGGAAGCCCGTCTTGGTCAGGGAACATTTGAATGAAGCGGCGGCGGCGGCGGTGGACACCACCGTGCTGTTTCCCCACGTGCTGTTTGCCCAAGGCAAGCCCGGCCCGACCAAGAAAGCGGCGTCCGTCCCGTTGGGGACAGCGGGCCACAGCACCTCGGTCATTCTCTCCTCCCCGAATTAGGCGGCGGTTCCAAGAGGCAAGCAGAGGCAAGAGGGAGGTGGGGGCGAGGGGCGCAATGAGCATCGGAAAAGCAGGCGAAAGGAAGGGAGAGGGCACTGGGGGTTCTCACCGAAGGGAGCGCGCGGGGGCTCGCCCACGCCGACTCCACGATCCCCGCGGGCCATGAAATCCGCCCCGGCCCGCAAATGCCCCGGGTTGGCGGGCGGGCCAGCAACTTCCCAGTGTGGCTGGCAGCGCCGATGTTACACAACAGGGCGCTCAAGGCACTGCTGCCTACAAGTTTCCAACAGCGTTCTCCCGAGAGGCGGCGAAACAGAGCCAGAGAGCGCGCCCAGGGCGCAGCGAGGTCCTGCCAAACTCGCTAGCAGGCACTCAGACTGGGGAGGGAGCTCCCCGGCTTCCTTCCCCCAAAGATCAACTTTGGGCACTGTCCTTTCCCCTACCTTAGAAGCAAGCAGCTCGGCTTCGGGGCCCCGTCCCTTTCTCCGCCCTACAGTCTCTGCTCAGCCTGTAGGGGCCAGCCAAGCGCGCGTGGCCGCAGACCCGTGCGCCTCTGGATGGCGTCCCATTCACTGTCCGTGCAGTTTGCGGCTCCTTTCCAAGGCCCTGCTTGGTCCCGAATGCTGGCGGCAACCAGGAGAGTTAGGTTTCCCGCGATGGTGGGCGGAGTTTGGGCACCCGGGCGAGTCCGCGCTCCTCAGAGAGGTCAGGGGCGTGCCTCCGTCAAGCCCTCCCGGCCGCCCGCCCGCGCTCTCCCGGGCGCCGCCGGCAGCTGGAGGCTTGTTCTAAGGAGCAGATCTCCGCCTTGGCTGGGCGCGCTCAGCCTCTGCCCCGCCGCTGCTGTAAAGTCTAGAGTGAGGACGAGGAGTGCCCTCTGTCTGGGCTAACTGCTGGCAAGCGATTGGCCCGCCAGCGCTCCTTCTCTCTTCCGCCAGCTATCTCGCCAAAGTGAAGTTGCTGACACACAGGAAACCCTTATGACAGCTCCGAGCCTTCTGTCTATAGCCCAAGAGCCCACCGGTCACCACAGAAGTCTTTAGGGCCCACAAAGACCATGCCAGCTGTTTGCAGACTCAAATCAGCTACCCTCGCACGTTTGGGAACGCCCTAACATTGCCAAGCGCCCGGCTTCTTAGGGACCGAATTCCTGCCACATGCAAGAACCTGCTACTCCAAGAGAACAGAGTTTTCCCAAGGGCGGGGTTAGGGGAGTCTCTTTCTGCTCTTCTGGTCTGGTTTTTACTTTTATTCCAATATCGGTTTTGTAATTTGTTAATAATATCAATATGAGAACTTCGAAAAGTGTCTTGGAAAGTATTAGTCAATACTTCACGAAGTTTCAGCATAATTTAACTTAATAGATTTCTACTACGCACAGACAAGCTCCCCAAATCCTCCTGTTCAGTACTTTTAGTTAAATATCTGAGGTTACAATTAAAATATAATTCAAAATCATTTGTTTTGGAAATAACTTGAATATTAAAAACCATTTCATATAGATATAAAAGACAATGGTGGTGCCAAAGTGATGAAGGTATGTGTTTTGAGATTTACAATTACCTTTAGTAAGCACATTAAAAATATTGATTAAGGACTTCCTAAATTACTAAGTTTATCGAAAACTTCTTTTCATACCTTGACTATATGAAGATTTTAAGCCATTCACTTCAAAATTTGAGTAAGTTTAATTTGAAAATTTAATTTGAATATTTTCAAGCTATGCATGGACATTCTTAAATGGGCCCACACAGGAATGGAATTCAGCACTTTCTGACAATTTAATAATTAAACCATATACTTTATGTGAATATTAACAAAGGCTTTCTCTTAAAGGAAAAATAAAAATAATAAAAAAAATTCCGAAAAGAGAATGTCTCTAAAATGTATGCAATAGATATTTCTTTCTAGTCCCAGTATTACACAGTGCTGTTCCCTTAAGATACTCATAGGAAAACCATGAGCTTTGATACTTAAAGGAAAATAATCTAGAAGACTCAGACAATCTCTTCAGAGGAACACATATGAAAAAGATGATATTCATGCACATGGTATCACGAATATTCTGCTATGTTGTGTTGTGGCTGATTCAACAGCATAACAAACTATGAAGTCAGAGTAAATAACTCAGATAAAATACATGAATGTTGGTTACTGTCTTAAAAGCAGCCTTAATTGAAATGAATACAGCAGGCTTCAGTTTTTTCATCTATAAAATGGAGTTGGACTTGATTATCTTTTATGTTTCCTTCTCGTCCCAAATTTATATGATTCTGTAATTCAAAGCCCTCACAAGAAAAATCTTCATATTGTTCGATTAGTATGATCTAGCTGGTATTCTGTTAAGAGAGAGAAGGAAACAAAGAAAACCATTAAGAGTTTCATGGATACTCAATAGGTCCCAACTCTTCACTCCTTTGCATTTTTCATTTGCAACCTAAGCAATATGTAATCCCACTCAGAAGTCCATTGCAAGTGCATTAACTCCTATTGTGAATGTTTTGAAATGTACACTTAGACCAAATACCACTAAGTAATTTCAGAACACTGACAGTATAGGAATCTGGAGGAGATAGTTCTGCTAAGTGCAACAGACTCTTTTTTAATGATGTTAAAAAAAAAAAAAAGAAAGAAAGGTAAATTTTGTAAATACTGCTGTTACATTCAGCATATTAAATAGATTTAACTACATCTTATTATTATGTTTAAATAAAAATTGTGCCTTGTGGGATGTTATATGCATATAATAATCATTTGTGTATTGCTTTCAGTTTGTAAAACACTTAAACTAGATTTAATGAGGAAAAAAATATCATTTCAAACCCAGAAACTGTGTTTACTGATGTTTGAACAATAATTATAAATGCCTTAAAACAAAACCCATTGCCCTCGAGTTAATTCTGACTCAAAATAATCCTATTGAACAGAATAGAACTGCCCTGTAGGTTGTGCAAGGCTGTAGTCTTTACAGAAGCAGACTACCATATCTTTCATGCACAGAGTGGCTGGTGAGGTCCAACCACTGACCTTTCAGTTGTTAGCAGATGAGCGTTTAACTATTGCACCACCAGAGCTCCTTATAAATGTCTTAAAGGTATAAAGAGAATAGGTTACATATATATAAGTGACTTGCCTCAACCATTCTGAGTTCATTTGTTTTGTATTTTATTAAAATGTAAATCCCCACCAGGAAGAGGTTTACAATTTAGTTGGAAATGCAAAGAATGTACATAGCTAACAATAATAGCAACATATAATAATAGCAGTAATAATAAGCCTTTCCTTTACACTCTAAACTGTGCAGGTTCAAGTGACAAGAATGATCTCCTTTAAGTCTTAGAAATATTCTAGGGGAGTTCTGGCAAGATGGTGGACTAGGCAGGAAGACTCCACAGACCCTCTTCAACAAAGAAAAGGGAAACCAATTAACACAGACACAGAAAATTATCCTGGACCCCTGAGCCTTGAAGGGAAGGATATAGAAGTGGACTAAACCCCGACTAGCAGAAGAATTTGCATGAAAATACCCAAAAAGGAGACATAAGGAGCTGCGGTCTGGCAGCAATCCTGAGCGATCCTCACGGCACAGACAGCTTGGAGATTCCCGAGTGCTGGTAGGAGTTAAGCATTAACCTAAAAATCAGCCCTGCTAGCCAGGGACTGCACAGAGGACTGCTCCGGTGGCTGGGGAATAAACGGAGAAGGTGAAGAGAAAGGTGGGCTGAGCTGTGGACTTTTGCCAGTCC